CTTCACTGCTGTCGGTTCTATGCTAGAATGAGAAAGGAGGAGGGTTGGAGACCATGTCCCGGAGCGTAAAGCTTAGCCACCCGCTTCTCATGGTTTGCCGTTAGATCGAAGGTCACGCAGGCTATTGGGGAACTGATGAAGACTGCTGAAAGTCGGCGATCTGAACCTACCACTCATCTGTTCTGGCCGACGGGACGCAGCGGCACGGCTACGGCTGCCGAGGGTCAACAAAAAGACGACCAAAAAAGTCAGCAACGGAGGAGGCAGAAAAGGCATGTTATTATACGATGACAGGTTCAACGGGACGTTGGAAGTTTGCAGTTTGAAAATGGAATATCTCCTCATTCAGAAGAAGAGCAGGGGCTAGTTGATGAGGCCCCAAGGCTTCAACTCAACGAAGGCTTTGGAATTTTGAACCTCTGCGAGTGGAAGCCATTATGCACAGGTGTCGACACCACTAAACACAACCAGGCTGGTGTTCGTGTTTTGGAAGAATCAAACTTGATTCAGTAAATCACTGAAAGTAGGTCTGTCAGGGAAAGACAGACAATCATCCTGCTGAAATTACAATGGGCTAAAGCTCTGACCGTGTTAGAGATCTGTGAGCCCAATTCAGAGGGAGAATATGAATCATTCCTTCAGGAATTGCCGACTACGGAATCCATCGTTCTAATGGGTGACTTCAATGCTCATGTCAAAGTAGACAATGGAAAGGAAAAGGGCGAGTAGAAGGAAACGACCCTATCGAGTTCAACAGTATCGGCAGAAAGTTGTTGTGGTTCTCTTCAACCAACAGAATCACTGTTATGAACACCTTCTTCGAGCATCGGAGCATGCTTTAGTATACTTAGTATAGGGGCTTGTGCAAACATATCGATGGTCGATTTGATAATTATACATCGATTTAATAATCAACGGTCTGTAATGCATGTTCGCGTTCAGAGAGGAGCAAGGGTCTAGGCAACCTGGCCATCTCCTCGTTGTCGGCACCCTTCGCTGTAAATGATAGAGTACCATGCGAGATCTCTCAGTACCACGTGAATCTCTCATAATTCTGAGCCATAGAGCCATCTCACCCTCATTATGAACAACGTTTCATGGGAGTACCGCATATACATCGAAATGTGTTCTTACGCGGAAATATGTCGAAGAATACATAACTCCTTCAAGACTTTTCTCACCTGTCAACAAGTGAAAACGAGGAAAGGTTGCCAAAACCCGGCAGAAACGGTTTGAAGGAATTTCATGCCACGCCCATCTACTCCCTGATAACCAGATGATATTGAGTGACAGGAAATGTTGCTCAGTAGCAGTTATCTGTTCCAGTTTTAAACAAATCTGATGCGGTTAATTTCAAACCTGCTGCGGTGCCATGATGTGGTAAATTTTATGGCGTATGTTTTACGTATATCATTAATAAAGTAAAGAAAAGTTGTTATGGTTCAGAAAACGAATACATTAAATTTAATACGATGTGAGACCTTTCGATCGATTAACATCTCCGCTTAACGATGGACTGACTGCGTCCATTGAACAAAGGCCTCCTGAAGCAACTGATGAAATAGCGGGTTTTCAAGTTGAATGCATATAAAATGTATAACCATATATTTAAGACGAGAACGGAGTGGCTGATGAATGCTTTAGGGCTTACTTTATCAGTTGCTCCAGCCAAAACGGAACCCGGCATTCCCGCCACAGCCGAACTACGCGATCACGTAGGAAAGTAAGTACGGTTTAGTGCACACGCATGAACCGTTACTACGATTGTGACTCAAGCCTTTTACAAACCCGGAAATCGAGGACTAACAGCACAATAGTATCAAGGCTTGGTACAGCCTCTTATTTCATTCTAATTTTGGAGAGGCTTCATTCAGCAGTGGATCGCGAAAAAAGATTATAATGATGATGAAAACCATTTTCTCTTAAAGAATGAAAAATATACTACAGTACAGAATATAAATCGTAACTATGGACTGCAGGATTTGGTCCATCATCCGTACAAAACCCTAAAGAATATGATACATTAAGTCATAATGTCAACTGCTCCCTAAACAAAGAACAACGGGTATCAGTCATGTGCAGTTTTAACTTGGTATAAAACTATTTTGGACGCATATTTTGATTGATTGGTCGATAAACAGAAAATCCCGATGATGCCTGATGTAAAGAAATAATATCCCTCATGCTAATCGAACGGTCAACTTTTATTAAATGAAGCAGAAAGATGTCAGCTTAACTCTACCTTTATGACGCCATTCCTCTGAACAAAGGAAGGCATTTGTCGCATTCTGTTTTACAACAAAATCATATACTTTTCAGATAACTTTGTCAAACTTTCTTAGTTATCCGCACAACAATTTCATGACAGTACCCGAGCATCTTTGAGTCATTATGTGCGATATCTTCTTGTGAACTTTACAACAAGTTTTCCTATTTTTTTGAGATCCTTCCTCCTTCCTTTATTAAATTTCATCACAGCTGATAGCCAAGTGATAATCAGGGACTTCATTCACTCTTCCTGAAAGATTGCTTTCAAATATCTGAAGGTGTCTTTCACACTGTTTCGCTTGCAAGCAACAGTCCAGTCCTGTTTTGAGGAAGATCGAGGGTATGAATACTTCGTTGTTTATGTATCACTAACGTTAACTCGCGATTGCATTAAGTTGTTTTACCTTTATCTAATGCCAGCGAAGCTCTTGAACTCTTGAACAGCAGAGTTCTCCAGAACTGACAGTTCGAAATAGTGCCTCAGTGTTCGCCGCCGCAGCTGAGGTCACAAATCACATTTCAAGCCGGTTTGCCTTGATGAGACGCTTCCAAACCTTTTGCAGTCTTTCACTAGACAGTTCTCATGAATACTACAATACCCAGGCCAAAATCGTTACGTTTCAAGACTTCGCTACGGAACTTTCTGCTTCAAAAGCCAACTTAGAAGGCTTCTTTTGAGGAAGCAGTGAAAACAAGACTTGTTACCACCCTAACCTCTTTGCCTGTCACGTACACCTTATGTTTATGTCCTGTAGCGTTCAATGCTGAGTGTAACTGAAGATGAGGCACAAGTCGATTTGCATACTCTTGAGGACCAAAACATCTCAGTTGTGTTTTTCCATTCAAACAGACCATCTCCCTCTCTTCAACAGCAAACTTTCTGACTAACTGAATCTTCAAAGAAACTGTTCAGTCGCTGAAAGATCATTATTGCAAGGAACTTGTACGACTTACAATTAATCACGTCACCACCAATGTATGTCACCGAATGCAGAGCGTTCGTTTTAAGACCTTTCGGAACGTGGAATTCCACGCCGTATCTTAGTCGTTCCAAATAATCAGTAAATGTCCTCCTTGATTCAAAACTATGATAACATCATTTACAAATAGAGGCGAAATTATCAAGCCAAATTTCCCGGTTAGTAGAATTTTGGTTAGGGGTCAGGTCAAGAAGGATGTGCACGTTTTATTTTAAGACATTATGCATCGAGCATCATCGTACCGGTTGAGGTTATTCATAATGCCTCATTGTAGCATTCGGTTCGCCTTGCATTGAAAGAAATGGCCTAAGAGCGAAATGGCTTGTAGCGTGCTTTCTTTAAAGCTTCACACGGAGGGTAGCTCCCAATCTTTCCACCCTGGTGTTAGAAATTTTAAATGGCTCCTTCGACCACAGACAGGAGAATTTTGTTTCGGGTTCATGATAAATTTTTATAGCTGCGTTAGCGACTACGACGTCAAATCGCATTTTACTTGTCATGCGATTCCTTACTTTGGTCGTTGCCCACTCTGCATTAATCATGATGAATTTCGCAGTTGATTGACTCTCGCACAGAAATTTACAACGGTTCATTTTTATGCTGCAGATATAAAAGTTCATGACGTACCTACAAACCACCCCAGGACGCTGCAATCGGCACTGCTAGTATTATTTTTCAGAATGTTATTTTTGTTTGTAGGCATATTTCATTATATTGTTGAAAACCACACGAAGGCCTGCATATTTGAAGTCATTCAAAGAATATCGTTTACGTCCTTGTATTGAAGAACTTGCAGTAATTCATGCAAAGAATGGGTAAACTACAATGGACGACAGGCGGAGAGTGTTCTTGGTGCTACAATAGCAGTAAAGGCTTCTATTAACTCTACAATTCAGATAACGAGGCTCGTGTACACATGGTTAAATTTCTAAAAATCATTTTTGCCAATGTCCCAAGATCTCATAAAGATCCATACCTGTAAGAACCATGTCCCAAGTCTGAGGTGAATATCATGTTTCGAAGGATTCACAAGTTTCACGAGATTTACATATTCTTGTCTCTTGTCTCAGGTGATTCACGTATTGCCAAGGTTCTGCAGAAATTGCTGATCTCAGACCCGTCACAATAAAGGCATTAATGTTTTGTCTTATTTTTTCCATAAATTGTGAACCAATTATAATAAGACAACACGTAGAACATGTTTGTACGCCACAACTTTCACGGCGTGTTACACAACCCCTTTTCTCCTAGTTTCCTATAATCATTTGAGCAGGCCGCGGGCACCGTTGTATTTCAGCACCAGAAGTACTTTTAAATGGCACAAAGGAAACGTTCGAATCCAGGGGGGGGCATAATACGTGTGAAGTTCGATCGATATTAATAAAGAAATTAATATATAAAATTTCTAGTGATCATAAGAGGACAAGCATGAAAACGTTGTCATTTTTGTTTTGTTAAAACACATATGATTGAGCACTTGTGTAGAGTCCGTTGCTAAACCATAGACCATTTTATCGACACTG